ACATTGGACAGCACAGCTTTAAATGTTATCTGTCATAATTTTTTGGAATTTCAATCTAAAAGCCATTCCCTCAGAAAACCATTCCCTCACCTGCTGGCCGCCACCGCGAGCACGCGCGCCGCGCCCCGCCCGCAGTCGCCCCGGCGAGCATGCTGGCCCCGCCCCGTGCGCATGCTAGCCCCGCCCCCTCGCCGGCCCGCGAGCGCGCACCCAGCCCGGATGGTGGGCGGGGCGGCGGCGCCCCCTCTTGGCCGAGCCAGCAGGTGGGCGGCTCCCGGGCCTCCTGCCCTCCGGTCAGTCTTTCTGTCTGTCTCAAAGTCACATGCCTTACCGCCTGCCTGACAGATCCATCCGCCTGTCTTGACATCTCACAACCTGATCTGTGTCTGTCCATCCATCAGTCACCTACTCATCACATGTCTGTCCCCTGGGGAGAATCAGATTTGTCCACCTGTCTGTCTGTCTTCCAGCAGGTCACCTTCCAGGAGGACCCTAAATCAGTACCAGGCAAGGTCAGGAACCTTTGGAGGACTTCTCCTGGGGTTGCCCCCTGGGCCGATGGTAGTGCAGCTCGCCACAGCCTACCTTTGGGGCCAGATTCAATACTTTCCAGGTTATATACCCCTTAATCTTTCACATGTTCACCCTCGCTAGAGGGAGACCTTTCCAAAACTCTGCTTGAAGCAGAGGGGTCCCCACCTCACACATTAAAGGAAAAACTGTAGGGAGGTTATACCCAGTGCCTACTTCTGCAGACTCAGAAATCAGATAATCATAACGGCGGCCATTTATTGAGTGCCAGATACTGTGTAGCTATTATCTAAATTCTGTAGAGGTAGTTATTCCTATGAGCCCTTCCTCACACTTTGGAATAGGCAATAGGGCAATGATAGTTTGTCAATTTTATACAAAAATGCTCTTTAAGCACAGCTTCAAAGATCCTCTTCCCACAAGAATCCAGCCCCCAAAGACCCTCTGTGTCAGACCAGGTCCTCCAGGAAGCAGATGTGATCAAGTTGTTTGTGACGCCTGTGAAAGAGAAAGGGGAAGAAACAGGATTGAGCAAGGAGAGACATAGATCTGACAAAGATAGGCCAACCCAACGGGAGCCCCAGGGCAAAAGTCCATTAGAGAAGTCCCCACTGGGCAGAAGTATCCAGTCCCCAAGGCCCCATCATGTGTTAGCCATTGGCTGAGAATGCCCAGGAAATGTGTGACCTGGCCCTAATGGCCCTACATCTGGAAGCTGTCATTCCTCAACCTGGATAACAAGTTCTCATTCAGAGGTGGAACCTAGCAGTTTACCTCCATGGCTGCCACATCCTCCTGTATTAAAATTCAAGAGCTAAGACTGCTCCCCAACTAGGCACTCTATTTCAGGCCATTTCAATACCTTTCATGTACCTCTATTTTGTAGGCACCTCTCACTGCTGCAATTTACATTTAGTGGTGAGATTATCTGATAAATGTCTCTCTCCCTATCACACTAAAAGCACATAAGGGCAGAAACCATGTCCATTTATGCTCACCACATAGCCATATTTAGTGTGTAACACATAGTAGGTATTCAATATATATTTGCTAGATGACTGGCAGGCATTGTGCCTGACACTTGGAACAAAGCAAACCACAGCCCCTTTCCTCAGAAAGTTCACAGTTCAATGCAAGAAACCGAAGATTAAGATGTGAGGTCAGTCATTCATTCACTCAATGATGAGATATTTAATGGTGTTTGCTCTGTACAGGCCTTGAGCTGAGGCTGGAGATACAATGATGAATAAGACGGATATGGTGCCTGCCTTCTTGGGGTCTACAGTCCAAAGGGACGTGCAGAAGAGCAAACAGACCTGTACGAAGGGTGAATAGCCTCACACCATTCCCAGCTGCTTGGAAGAGCATATGCGAAGGCCTAAAGGCAAGACAGACCATGGTGCATTGGAAGAACTAGAAGGAAACTGCAGCATGGAATACAGCAAGGTGAGGAGTGATAACAGGGGGACATAGGGGTCTGCAGGGGCACCTGCCCTGCATCAAACACTGGGCTAAAGCTGGGAGAAACAGAAAGATGAATCCACAAATAGTCAAATCCGTGGTAGGCCCTAGAGTTTCTGGGGTGAACAATATGCTAATGCTGTAATGGAGGATGATATTACATGGGGATGTAATGTCACGTTTCCCCTAAAGGAGGTCAAACGAATTCTCTTTAGAACAATGAAAACAGCTACCATCAATATAAAGAACAGGCTCTGGGCTGGGTGCTTTTTTGCATTTAATCCTGACCACAAGCCTAGGAAATGGCCATTATTATCCCCTGTTCCAGTTGGAAAAGCTGAAATCAGAGAGAGATTGAGTTATCCAATGTCTCAGAGCTCATAAGTGGGGAAACTGGGATTTGAACTTGGGGAAGTGTATGCTGAGGTCTGTGCAGGAAGCCTGCCAGGTAAAATTGCTACTCCGTAGACCAATCCCAGGGCACACACTTGTTCCTTTTCCAAAGGTCTCACACCTTTCTTTTTCAAAGCAATGTTCTCTGGAGGGGAAACTGAGACACCAACTGAGCAGGTGATTTTGCCCTTGGGGGTGGAGTTCTAAAGAGAACTGAGGATTACGAGTTCAGCTAGTGACCTTGAACACTCATGCCCCTACCTGGGATTTCCTCACGTAAATAGCCCCTAAACTCCATTTCCTCCCCTTCTTCCTCCGCCCCTCTGGGACACCCATCCCCAGCCATCAGGCTTGGTTAACTCAATCCAGGTTCTTGCTTGCTTCCTAAAGATTAGCTGACACTGATGGGACAGATAGACAGCCCTGTCAAAATTGAATTCAGGGTCCCCATGGTGAGGAAACATCCTCCAAGAAAGCAAATCCTCTGAGGGATCACTCCATGGCCAAATGCACGGAGACCCATCCAGTCCATGGAATGTCTGTCTTTTCACATGTGCTGTTCCTTCTGCCTGGATGGCTCTGAATGCCTCTTCTTGTCCCTGCCCACGGGCACCTCTGCTTAGTAGTGTGCCATAGAGGTTAAATGCACAGACTGTAGAACTGACTCCACCCAGGTTCAGGTCCCAGCTATGCTCCTGTTGGCGGTGAATCTTGGGCCAGTTACTCTCTGTGCCTCAGTTTCCTTCTCTGCAGAAAAAAGATTAATAATAGCTACCTCTCAGGATCATCATAGGATTAAAGGAGATACTATATATCTAGGACTTAGAATGATCTTTGTCATCAATAAGCAGTCTCCAACTCTGCTATCCCCTAGAAACAAAATACAAATTACATACGTGATTTAAATTTTTCTAGTAGCCACATTTAAAAGGATAAAAAAAAGAAACAGGAAAAATTAATCTTCATATATTTTATCTAATCCAAAATATCCTAAATGTTATCATTTCAACATGTTATCAATATAAAAAATATCAATGAGCTCACTCACTTTTATTCATACCAAGTCTTTGCAATCTGGTATGTATTTTACAGTTATAACACATCTCAGTTTGACTAGCCACATTCCAAATGCTCAGTAGCCACATGTGGCTAGTGGCTACTACATTGGACAGCACAGCTTTAAATGTTATCTGTCATAATTTTTTGGAATTTCAATCTAAAAGCCATTCCCTCAGAAAACCATTCCCTCACCTGCTAGACTGTCAGGGCTCCTGCATAATAAGATCTTTATTTAGCACCCTGGAAGCACTCATTATAATTATAATTAAATAATTTGTATGCATTCATTGTTTGCCCCTGTCCATCTCCTACTAAACTGTAGACTTCAGGAAGGCAGAGACCATGTCTGTCTTGTTCACTGTTCTACCCCAGTGCCTGGCACAGGGCCGAAGACACAGTAAGTTCTTAATAAAAATATGCTGTGTGCAAGAGTGCGAGCTCTGAACAACAGCAGTTCGATTCCCAGCCCGAGCTGAGCTGCTGCTGAGCTGCTAACAGGTGGCAGGATGGCTCAGCTAAAAAAAATAAAAATAAAAATATGCTATGTGAATAACATTTATTAAATGCCACTTAATGAAATAAGCTTAGCATTGCACTAACTGATGTTGGGAAGAAAGAGGAGATTAAGTGGGGGGAAAAAGATTTAGAAGAATAAATTCCAGAACTTACAATATACATGTGGAAATTTTCTTTACTAAAGCAATAGTTGTTCGTTGTAGGAAGAAATTTAGGAAAAAGTAAGATAAACTAAGAGATGAAAATTAAAAGTATCCGTAATCCAAAAAACATTAATGACCAATGGTACAATCTTCTAGATTTTACTATTCTTTTACACACATATACACATATGAATATCTATACCACATACATAAATGTTTAAATATACATTTTTATATTTCTGCGCACTGCTTTGAAACCTGCTCTTTTTTTCCCCACTTAACGCTATTTTGTGAACATCTTTCCATGGCATTCAATATTCTTCTAAAACATCATTTCTTTGGGCAAAAGAGCATTCTATCATATAACTGTGCCAGCATTTACTCAATCAGTTTCCTGGTTAAATTCAGTTATTTCCAACTTTTCACTATAATTAGGAAGACTGAGAAGAACATCCTTGTAGCTAAATCTTGGAGCACTTAATCATTTCCTGAAGATGAATTCCTAGAAGCGGAAGTGCTGTGGCAGAGGTTCTGGGCACTGTTGTTGGTCCTTTTGCTGGGTGCTGACAATGTGCTTTCCAAAACAACTGCATCTAGATAAATAGATAATATATTTTATGCGCACCAACCCGCACACAATACTTTAGCGTGACCCCAGGAAGAACTGCCCTAAAAGTGCCACCAGTGCAATGAGAGATGTGTAACTGTACATGGACAAAAATTTCTTATTTTAATAGTTATGTATTTATGTATATTAGAAAAATATCTAATTAACACATAAAACCAACATACAGTTTAGGATGAGACTAAGTTTTAAAAATTGGGTCATTTACAGAAAAATATTAAGTAAGTTACAGCACAGTGGGTTCTCAATTACAGCAAAATTCATGACTGGAGTTTGAGACACTTTCTGATGTACGATCACTCCCCAAAAGTATTGTGTAATGGAAGAAGTTAAGCTGGAGCAGTGTCTCTGGAAAAAAAAACTCAGGAAAAAAACAACTTTACTGAGGTGTAATTCATACCCAGTAAAATGCACCCATTCAAGCGGACTAGTTTGATGAGCTTGGACTCATGTATACACTCATGTAACTACCACCTCAGTTAAGACATAGAACATTCTACCACCCCCTTGTCCCCCATATAGTTGATCCCCACTTCCGGCTCCAGGTAACCATGGACTTGCTGTCACTGTTGATTAGTTTGTATTTTCTATAATGCATTTATATAAATGGAATCATACAGTATGTGTTTTCTTTTCTTTTCTTTTTTTTCAGGTTACAGGAGGTCTGGCTTCTATGCCATAAATGTGTTCATGAGATTTATCCAGGATGTTGTATCAAGAGTTTGCTCCTTTTCATGGCTGAGTAGCACTCCATTGCGTGGATATGGCACCGTTGGTTTCTCCATTGTCCTGTTGATGGATATTTGGGTTGTTTCTCTAGTTTGGACCACGATGAATGAAGCTGCGTGAACATTCATATAGAAGTCTTTGTGTGGACATATGTCTTCATTTCCCTTCCATACATTCCTGGGAGTGGAACGGCAGGGTCACAATGTAATGTTTTTACAATATGTATTAAGTATCATCCTCATCCTCTGCTTAACCATTCAATGGTTTCCTGTTGCCCTCGGAATAAAATCCAAACTCTTCACCAGGGTCTCTGAGGACATACCTCGGATCTTGTCTTCCACCAGTCTCCCCTCTCATCACACTCCAGCCACACTGGCCTTCATTCTGTCCCCAGATCATAGAAAGCTAGTTCTGACTTTGGAACCTTTGCAGGTATGACCCCCGCCTTTCTGGAATGTTCTTCCCAGATCTTGGCATGGCTGTTCCGGCTCATCATTGAGGTCTCAGTTCATATGTCACCTCTACGGGTCCTGAACATTTTAACTCAAATCTCTCTCCATCCCCCATCAGGCCCTATCCCATTATCGTGGTTTAGTTTATTTACTTTCACCTTCTGACATTATGTTCTGTATTTATTTGTTTACCTGTTTATTACTTGTCTCTCCCTCCCCCATTAAAATGACAGCACTCTGAGGTGAGGCACTGTGTCTATCTTTTTCACTGCTTGTTCACCAATGTCTAGAATGGAGAGTGCTCAGTAAATATTGTTAGAAAGAATGAAAGGCTGGGGAGGGCTGGCCAAGTGACTCAGTTGGTTAAGAGTTGATTTAAGAGCGTGAGCTCTGAGCAACAGGTCCGCCGGTTCGATTCCCACATGGGCCAGTGACACTGCGCCCGAGCTGAGCTGTCGCTGAGCTGCCAACAGGTGGCAGGATGGCTCAGCTGGTGTAACAACAAGATTGCCTGTTTGATGGTGGGCTATGCCCCCCCGCACCTAAGACTGAACTCGGCACCCTGAGCTGAGCTGCTGCCCAGATGGCTCAGTGGATAGAGGGTGCGCTCTTAACAACAAGGCTGCTGGTTTGACTCCCGCATGGGATGGTGGCTATGCCCACCCGCAACTAAGATTGAACACAGTACCTTGAGCTTAGAGGCCACGAGCTGCCGACGGGAAGCCAGATGGCGACTGGTACCCTCCACAACGAAGATTGAAGAACAACTTGGCTGGTCCCCTTCCCTAATTCCCTAACACTGTTCCCTTCCTCCAATTCCCCAATAAAATCTTAAAAAAAAAAAAAAGAAGAAGAAAAGAAAGGCTGGGGACACCAAGGTACAAAGAGCTGAGTGGACTGGGCCATGAAGTTAATTGCAGGATCAGGACGAGAACCCCAGTATCCTGGCACCTAGCCCAATCCTCTCTCTACCACAGGCCATTCACAGAGCTTTCCAGGATGACAACATGATTGGAGTACAGGGTTCGTAGCAGCGGTGCCATTTTTAAGGGCAAAGGACTGGAAACAACTCAAATGTCCATCAGTAGGGAATTGGTTAAATAAATTACATACAGTCCTACAATGGAAAAATATGTAGCCACAGAAGACATTGAGGAAGCTCAGTAGGTACTGGTATGAAACAGTCTCCAAGATCTAAAAAAAATAAAACTGAACAGTGTGTGTCACATGGGTATCTTTGCAGAGAAAGCAGGAAACAATATATTTGTTTATAAGATGGTTATACATGCTGAAGCATCTCTGGAAAAATATGTAAACACTAGTGTCACCTGGCAGGGGTGGGGGTGGGGGAACCGGGTGGCTGGGGGTCAGGAGTGGGAAGGAGATTCCACTAAATATCGTTTGGAATCTTTTGAATTTCGAACCACATATGCAATTTTACCTCTTCCCAGAATGAATGAATATTTTCAAAATAAAATACAACTGCAACAGAACAATGACACTGCAGACATTAACATAAAAATCAACTGCTTAAGAGTGATTCAAATGAGGCTTGGAAAAGGTTTCCTGGAAAAGAGCTAACTCTGACCTTATTTTTGGAGAATAGGAAACAGTGGGAAGGGCATTCCACAAGGAGGGGCTGGTGTTCAGAAAAGTATGCAGAGGGCCCCAGAATAGGGGCAGCCAAGGCTGGAAGGTTTTAGCCTCCCCTGCTCATTTAAAGGATGAGCCAAGTGACCCAGAGAGTAAGTCCTAGCAGGCGCCCCAGTCCTCTGGGGGGCAACCCTTTAAGGTCCAGGAGTCCTAAGGCAGACAAGGGTTCAAATCCCAGCTCTGCCATCTGCCCACTATGCAGCCTTGGGCGTGATACCTCATCATCCGTTTTCTCTCCAGTACGATGGGCCTGAGGTTCTTCTGCAGGTTTGATGAGTTGGGTGATTTGGGCCAAGTGGCTTAACCACTGGGAGCCTCAGTTGCCTGAATGATAAAATCTGGCTAATAAAACATATACCTCCCAAAGTTGTTATGTGGATTCAGCAACAACAACATTGCAGTTAACAGGGCTGAGAAATTATAGCTATAATTATCACAGGAGAACCCAAGTGGGACGTTAGGGCTAGGAGAGAAAAGGGACAGATTTGGGGATTTATCCAGCCACGAAGGGGTTGCAGAATCTAGGTCGTGAATATTATTAATCATATTAATAATTATAACTATGATTGGGAATATTTATTGTTCAACATATGGGGAGTACTACGTTAAGTCTTTTACATTCTTACCTCGTTTAATCCTCACAAAGAACCATTGGGGGTTTTATGCCTGTTTTACAGGCCAAGAAACTGGAGGCTCATAAATAAAGTCACCTGTCCAAGACCACACAGGCACGAAGGGACAAGGTCAGGATTCAAACCCAGGACTGCCTGACTCCAGAGTCCATGTGCTGGCTCATGAGTGGGAGCATGGGGGTTGTGTCACAGCCCCTTGACAAGTTCAAGCTCCCCAGCTGGCTTGAGCACAGTGTCTTGAAACGCCTCTGAATTTTGGGGGAAGGCACTGTCTGGGTCACTCACTGCCCTGCTTACACTCTTCATGATGCCAGAATAAAGCCCATGATTTTCCATGATCTCTGACCTCATTAGAGGACCCTGTGTAATGAGCCTTCTCTCCCTTTCTCCTTTCGCAGCTCCAGTCAAAGGGAACGACTTGACTTTGAGTTTCTCCAAGAGGCCGCGTGCTCCTGGCTTGAGCCCCCTGCAGGTGCCATTACTCTTGCTGAAATGTGTCCTGTCCTCTTTCTTCTGGTTAACTCCTCTCCTCCTTCAGTTCACAGGTCAGCCACACCCTCCTCCAGGAAGCCTTCCCTGACCACTGCCTAGACTTGGATAATTGGTGCCACCACCCCTACTAAAGCATTTAACTGTTTGCCAGGCACCATCGGAAGCACTTTTCCTATATTATCTAATTGGACACCCACAAAATCTCTATGGCAGTGGGCCTCTTCCTTGGTGGCATGTTGGAATCACCTGGGAAGCTTTAAAATATTTTTTTTCCCCCAGAACTAACCTTTAGAAATTCTGATTTAATTGGCCTGGAATGCAGCGTGGGCATCAGGATTTCAAAAAGCTCCCCCAGGCCATTCTGATGCACAGCCAGGGCAGAGACCCACTGGCTTGCTTCTGAGATAGATGTGATCCTGATACTCCTTTTACAGCCAGGGAAACTGAGGCACAGAGAAGTTCAGTAAGTGGCCTAGGGTCATGCAGTTAGTGAATAGTAGAGTGAGGGTTTGAGCCCAGAAATTCTGGCTTCAGAACTTCGCAAGAACAAAATCCGTTGGCCTCAGTTAATTCCCCCACCAATGGAGAGCTGTGAGCCAGTCTCTTCTGAAACAGACACTGAGGGCCCCTCGGGCATGAGATATTTTTAACCTAGAGAAGCTAGGATTCTTGCAGACATCCTGCAGTGACTTGAACACTGAGACGATTGTTTGGGGGCCAATGGACCCTTTCCCAGCTGAAATGTTCCTCAGAGCACGGCTTTTCCATCCCTTGGAGCCAGAGGGTCCAGGGTGGTTTGGGTGACAGGGTGGGAGGGTGGGGTAGGGGTTGGTTCCATCAGGGACTGATGTTTCCAAAGATATTTCCGTACATGGAGGAGGCGGAGAGGGTCAGGATTACCTCACCCAACCCTGCCCCTTCTCCCTGCTGTCTGCCTGGGAAGAAGCTAGAGAACAAACAAGTGTTAGAACTGGATATGAGTTCACCCTCCTCCATCTTCCCCTCCCTAACCCGGGAGAGTCCCTTGAAAACTGCAGAGCACATCCAAACCTACTCATCGAACATTCTCCAGATGCTCTCCTATGTGGCTTTATGGGTGAATACAATAGCACAGGGCTGGGGGAGGGAGCCTCTTAAAATGCAAAATATGCATGGCCTCTGAGCAGATCTCACCTATAGAAATTTCCTTTAGAAATACCCTCCACAAGTGGGCAAAATTCCCCTGAGTAGGCAAAGATGCACATCCAAGGATGTTCATCGTAGCATTGTTTATAATCGAAAAAAACTGGAGAGCGATTGGATGGCTCAGTTGGTTAGAGCGCGTGCTCTTAAAAACAAGGTTGCAAGTTCGACTCCCGCATGGGATGGTGGGCTGTGCCCCCCACAGCTAGATTGAAAATGATGACTGGACTTGGAGCTGAGCTGCACCTTCCACAACGAAGATTGAAGGACAACAATTCTACTTGAAGCTGATGGGTCCTGGGGAAAACACACTGTTCCCCAATAAAGTTAAAATACATAAAATAAAATAAAGGGAAAATAAAGACATTAAAAAAAAAATCTGGAAACCCAAATGCGCGTCCATAGAGGATTGGTTAGCTGAAGTGGGCATATTCGTACAGAAAGAGGGAAGCTGTGTACTGACATAGGAAATATGTCCACAATACATTGTTTAGCAGAAAGCAAAAGCAAGTAGTAGAACTGTATGTAGAGTATAAGCCAATGTTTGTGTTCATAATTATGTTGACATATGAAAAGAACAGTTTGGAGGAATAATCTCACCTACCTTTGGCTATCTCCTTTAGCAGTGGAAGTGGGATTATGGTGGGGGTCTTTGTCACTGCTTCACATGTATAATGTTTGGATTTTATATACAAACATGCTGCAATTTTGCAACTAGAAAAAAATGAGGTGTGAAACAGAAAACAATACTATGTAAAAATCACATGGGTTCACTTTAAAATGGCTAATTTTATGTTATGTGAATTTTATTTCAATTAAAAAAAAAAGTCACTGTAACTCAAACTACCCAGCCCAAGGAAGATTCCAGTAGAGCTGAAAGCAAAATATGCATGTTCCATAAATTTTACCTTTAAAAAAATTGTTTTGCTTTCCTTATTTATTCAACTTTCAATGGTTTTTCCAGGCTTTTCTTTCTTGTATTTGCTTACAAATGAGTCATTATTTTACTTACTCGCTATTATAAATTCTAAGAAAATCACACACGTGCACACACACACCCCCACATGGGTCAGTGTTTCCCAGACCATCATCTGACTTTCGGATCAATACAAAAGTTGCGGTGGGAGCCAGCTTCCATCTTCTATTTCCTCCAGGCCTGGTCTAACACCCAGATTATCCACCTTGGTAAGCAGCTAAGGTGGAAAGAAATGGTTGGAGTGCATCTTCAGACCCCACTATCAAGGATATTTGTAGCTCCTTGAAATTTCGGCTTCTGGGTGGCAAACATTGGCAACTTTGGCTGTTCCTGTAATCAATGTGGGGTTTCCACGACGCCCCTTTGAACAGTTATCACTGACCCCCTCTTTCCACCACATTTCTGACACACTGGCTTATCGGAGGACTCTTCTTGACTTCCTGGGGCCACAGGTTCTGATCACACGCCCTGATTCCAGGAAACCTATCCTGGGTTCTAGAGAAGAAGTGACGTTGATTTATCTTACTCAGCCATGATATCTTTTTTTTTTTTTTAAGTTTAGTTGGTATACAATTTTGTCTTGGTTAAATTAGTTTTAGGTGACAATATAGTGATTCAACACTGTTATGCCATACAATGTGATCACCCCACTAATTTTAGTAATCATCTGTCACCATGCAAACTTATGACTGTATTGTTAACTAAGTTCCCCTTCCCCTTTTCACCCATCCCCTGTACCCCCTCCCTCAGCCATGATATCTTTTTTTTTTTAAAGATTTTTATTGGTGAATTGGGGGGATGGGAACATTGCTGGGGAGTTGGGGGAAGGGGGACAGACAAGTTGCTGTCGTTTTTTTTTTTTGTTCTTCAGTCTAGTTGTGGAGGACATTGCTTCACTGGCCCAAGTTGGCACCATCATTGCGCTCTTCCCGGGTGAGGCAGATCAGTCGCCGGCTTCTGGACGGCCGCTCACTGCGGCTGCTGGCCGCTCACGCTGGCTGCTGGCTACACACGGTAGCCCATGGCAACCCACTGCCACAGGGACTGCAGCCCACGCCGTCGCCGGCGACTCACAGCAGCCCAGCTCCAGGTTGAGCCGTTGTTCAGCATCTTAGCTGTAGAGGGCAGTGTCACTGGCCCTCATATGTGGGATCCGAACCGGGGCCCTCTGGCATCCCAAGCGAGTTCTTAACCATCGCGCCACTCGGCCGGCCCTCAGCCATGATATCTTGAGGCCTGATCAGGAAGTGAGTGGTTCAGGGAAGTGGTTGTGGAAAGCAAAAGGCTTTTAGTATCAAATGGTCCTATATCAAGGGTTGTTCATTCACAGATCACTGATTACATTAAGGGAAAATGCACTTTTACAGTAGAGAGAGAGCAGTTACTGCCTTAACCAGGTGCTTAAACTCAGCGTCACTAATAGTAGAAGGTGCAGTACAAAGTTCATAACGTCACCTCTGAAGTTATATTTAATCTAATCAAGCTTCAAGGTCTAATTTCCAGTTTACAGGAAGTACAGGGGACAGAGGAAAATGTTAAATAACACCATAGGGGACGCTATCAGATGAAGCCAGAATGTGGAACATTCTACAGGATAACTGTCTTGGACTTCAAATAAATCAATGTCATGAAGGGAAGAAAAAAGGCAGGGGGACTTGTCCAGATTTTAAAAGAAGGCAGATGGAATATAAAATGGTATAGACACTCCTGGGGCCGGCCGAGTGGCTCAGTTGGCTAAGAGTTAGCTTAAGAGCGCGAGCCCTGAGCAACAGGACTGGCAGTTCGATTCCCACATGGGCCAGTGACTCTGTGCCCGAGTTGAGCTGCCACTGAGCTGCCAACAGGTAGCAGAATGGCTCAGTTGGTGACAGCACGTACTCCTAACAACAAGACTGCCTGTTCGATGGTGGGCTATGCCCGCCTGCAACTAAAAAACTGAACTCGATACCTTGAGCTTAGAGGCCACGAGCTGCTGATGAGCAGCCAGATGGCGACTGGCGCCCTCCACATCTAAGATTGAAGAACAACAACTTGGCTGCTCCCCTTCCCCAATTCCCCAACACTGTTCCCTTCCCCCAATTCCCCAATTAAAAATAAATAAATAAATAAATAAAATAAAATGGTACAGACACTCTAGAAAATAACCTGGAATTTTTTTTACAAAACTAAATAAGCGATTGACTGTACAGCCCAGAGAATGAAAAACATGCTCACACAAAAACTTGTACAAGAATGTTCTTAGCAGCTTTATTCGTGATAGCAAAATACTGGACACAATCCCAATGTCTTTCAGTGGATGAATGGTTGAACAAACTGGTACTTCCGTACAATGGAATTGTGGGGGTTCAGAATGAGTCACCCCGATACTCTGGCATGCAGATTATTTCAAGCTGAAAACAATAAAAGCTCAGAAGGCTCAGGAAGAAACTTTGGTCTTCCCCCTTACTGCCAAAAAGAATTTAAGGTAGAGGAACTGCTCCAGGAAGGGAAGTTATCATCATAGGTAACTATTCTTTAACCTGAACTAGGTATAATAGACAGGGAGGAACCTAGCCAAAGCCCATTTGATCAAAGTGCCCACTGTGTCTCATTGTTTCAAGTTTAGTAAGTGGCCTAGGGTCATGCAGTTAGTGAATAGTAGAGAGAGGATTTGAGAAATTCTGGCTTCAGAACTTCACCAGCAAACATTTGTTTAATAAACATTAACTCTCTCCATCCCCTTGAAAATTGCCTTTGCAGTCCCAGACCCCTGCTTCCCCCTCCTTGGTCCAGAATGGCATATATACCTCATTCTGCTTTTCTGCCTTTGGAATTTTCATGCTTACGTTAATTCCCCATATGCATGTATTAAAACTTGATTTTCTGTTAATCTGTTGTATGTCCTTTGAATTATTCAACCAGCCAGAAGAACTAAAGGAGTAAAGGAAAAGTTTCCCTATCCCTAACAGAATACTACTCAGCAAGGAAAAAGGATCAACTATTGATGCAACAACCTGTACGGACCTCAAGGACATTATATTTAGTGAAAAAGTCAATCTGAAAAAAAAAATCACATCAGGGGCAGCTGGTTAGCTCAATTGGTTAGAGTGCAGTGCTCATAACACCAAGGTTGCCAGTTAAATCCCCACATGGGCCACTGAGTTGCGCCCTCCACAACTAGATTGAAACAACTACTTGACTTGGAGCTGATGGGTCCTGGAAAAACACACTGTTCCCCAATAAAATTTAAGGGGAAAAAATCACATCATTTCATTTATATGAAATTCTAGAAAATGCAAACTAATCAGTGACAGAAAGGGGGCGGGAGTGGTGAGAGAGGGGAGTGACGGATGGATTACAAAGGAACACAAAGCAACTTTTAGGAGTGATGGATTTCAGTAATGGTTTCATGGGTGTACATGTTTCAAAACTTATCAAATTGTATGCTTTAAATATATACAGTTTATTGAATGTCAATTATACCTCAGTACAGTTTGTTTTTATTTTTAAATTTTTTTTAGTTGAGCCATCCTGCCATCTGTTGGCAGCTCAGCAGCGACTCAGCTCAGGCCAGGACTCGAACTGCTATTGCTCAGAACTTGCACTCTTGAGCGAGCTCTTAACCAACTGAGCCACTCGGCCAGCCCCAGTAGAGTTTGTTTTTAAATGGGGAGAATAGTTTTTGTGAGAATTAAATGAAATGAAGCATATTAAGCATTTTGTGTGGAGTCTGGCATAAAGTAAGTGCTCAATAGTTGCTGTTGGAACTTGGCTGGTCTCCTGGATGGCTCCATCACATCTCCCTGTTTATTTTCTTTATAGCACTGAAATAATCTGTAATTATCTGATTTATCTGCTTACTTATTTGTGGTCTGTCTCAAGGCTGGGTTCCCTGAAGCAGTGACTGGGCTGGTGGTTTCCCCCAGTGCCGCTTTAAACCAATGGATGCTGGTTCCACCATCTTCATCCTTAAGTAACTACATCCTTTTGCTTACAGGCCAGAGGAACATTTGATGGGTGGTAGCCTAAGCAGGTGCAGCTGGATGCCTTGCCTGGGCGTAGGACTTCTGAAACCTTCAATCCAGGAATACTCCCAGGCCTTCCTAACAGGATAAGGCTAGAGGCAGCGGGTGTAGTGGAAACCAGTACACCGCTGGGCATAGGAGGACTTGATTCCAGGTCCATCTCTGTCCGGGACTCCACGATGAAACCTGAGCAAGTCTATTGGATCCGTTTCACTCCTGGTCACTTTAAAGCAAGCATCTGGGTGAGATGTTTTCAGATTCGCTTCCATTTCTGTGAACCTGTGACCCTCTGAATGAGGTTGCCTACCACAATGGGGAAATGGGAACGGAGTTGCATTCTACCACTTGTTTGTAACTGTGACCTTTGTGGTAAAAAATAGCTAGGTACAACTATTGCAACTAAATATAACACCGCCTGCACAGAAAAGCTTTCTGAGCTGCACTCTCAGGTGTAAGAAAGAGACCCCACGCCATTTAAAGACCCAATGTCACACGGCTGCACAATACTCGAAAATCTGAAAAGTTAACTCTCAAAGATAAAAAACACGCAGAAAAAAACATAAGAACATTTTAGAACAACTTTAAGCTAACTAAAACCTGAGTAATTCAACTTGCTTTTTTTCATACCGCTGAGGATCAGTCTCCGTAGAGACTGTCAAAAATTGCCAATGCCGACTATATTTCAAGTCGTCATGGCGGGGTATTGGGAAAAGTTTTCAATTAGCAATAATCGCGCCTCGGATAAACCTCATTGGCTACGATACTGCCACTGCGCAAAGCTGGAGAACGTAAGCACGCAGCCCTCTCCCCAACGGATGACAACGCTCTTATCACCGAGGGTGAGCAAGTGCCCGCGAGTTCATGAATCTGACGCGTTCCTCTTCGAGCAGTTACATTTAAGGTCCGTCTGCATGGGAAGCTTCTTGTTGTTGGATCATTTCAGGTAAAACATTCAGATTTTGGAAATGAGAGCACGCACGCTGGGGTTGCTGGGGTATTTTATGCAAATTACTGTGACGTCACAAAGATGACCGGATTGACTTGAATTTTGAGTGAGAAACCTGTGTTGCGGTAAGGCGGATAAAGCGAGAGTGAGCTGAGGACTGGTGTGTGGGGGGCGGAGATACAAAAACATTACACGGGGACCAGCAAGGCATTTTGAGAGGAGCCAAAAAATCTCAAAAGTTAGCGTAGCAAACGAGAAAACGCAGTGGTGGACAGAGAAAAACCAGAGTCAAGAAAACAAGTATAAGACAAGCCAGCTAATTCAGGGAAAGTACTGAAGTCAAATATAATCCCCAAATTTCTTTACGCAAAAGAGAAATCTCTAAAAACTACATATATATCGCAAGTAACGATGATGTCAGTAACGTTAAGTCTCTAGTGACAAAAAAAATGTCAAATAAAAAGCTCTTCTTTTTTAAACCATAGTATTCAGTCTCCGTAGAGACTGTCAAAAATTGCCATTGCCGACTATATTTCAAGTCGTCATGGCGGGGTATTGGGAAAAGTTTTCAATTAGCAATAATCGCGCCTCGGATAATCCTCATTGGCTACGATACTGCCACTGCGCAAAGCTAACCAATGCTTTCCCCTACTCATCACCCCCAATAGGCAAGGTTCCTATTTCAGAAAGGCGATCTTGAGTCTCATGGAAAAACCTTCAATTATTGTTTGGTTGAAAATTATACGACCATACGACGATCTTTCGGAATGGAAAGGCTGTTTCTGAAGATCCTCTTGCTTGATTTTACTTACCCAGGTTTTGACGAGCATGAAGCAAAGCATTATGGGAAGTAACATGCTAAGAAATGAATTGGGCGAACGAGACATAGGCTCAGTGTCAAGGTACTATTCACGTGGCTCCCGATTCACAGTGTAACTATCCTGTCAAAAGTAGGGTTTTTTGGTTTTGGTTTTGGTTTTTTGCGGGGGTGTTCATCATGGTAAAGTACATTATATAAAATTTACCATTTTAACCATTTTTAAGTGTACAGTTCAGTAGCATTAACTATGTTTACATTGTTTGCAACCATCACTGCTATCTCCAGAACTTTTTCATCATCCCAAACTGAAACCCTGTACCCATTAAACACTAACTCTCCATTCCTCCCTCCCGTAGTCCCTGGCAACCTCTATTCTACTTTCTGTCTCTATAATTTGATTTTTCTAAGTACCGTATTTCCCCACGTATAAGACACAACCTTTTTCAGAAAATTTGGGGTCTAAAAACTGGGTGCGTCTTATACAGTGGTTGTAGATTTCAAATGCCATAGATGGAACTGAGGACGAGACAATATATGAAGACAGTGATTCGTCATCAGACACAGATGAGGACAAGCTAATGGTTGGGAGTTTTGACAGTGATGAGGAGTTGTATGAATTTTATGATGAATAAAACTTGAGTTCAATAACTTTATGTAATACATTTTTTTTCAAATTTCGGGCCCCAAAATTAAGGTGCGTCTTATACATTGGGAAATACGGTACCTCATATAAACAGAATCATCCAATATTTGACCTTTTGTGTCTGGCTTGTTTCATAGCATAATGTTTTTAAGGTCCATCCAAGTTGTGGTATATATCAGAATTTCTTTTTTTTTTTTTTTGACTGACAAATATTTGGCTGTGTGGAATTTTGTTATCCATTTATTCCTCCATAGACATGAGTTGCTTCCACTTTTTGGCTATTGTAAATAATGCTTCTATGAACATCGGCATGCAAGTATCGGTTTGAGTCTTTGTTTTCAATTCTTTTGTGTATATACCTAGAAGTTGAATTTCTGGATCATGTGGTAATTCCATGTTAATACAAAAGAGTTTTCTGTGGACATCTTAATTCAGAGGGGAGAGGCTGAAAGAAAGAGGCTATTTCCTCAGAAATGTCCACAGTTCATGAGGTTTGAAGTAACTTGAACTCTCATTGCTTGTTTTCTCTCTGCAAGTGGAGAGTTGTTAGAAACCTACATCTGGATTTGTTTCCTCCCTGAATTATATTCTCCAAAATACTTTTGGTTTTTGCTACTCATTAAGATGCAAATAGTAGTCTCTGAGAAAATGACGTTCTCCCCAACATTTTTTTATAAAAAATTTCAAACACGAAACAAAGTATTGTGCAGTGAAAATTCATGTAGTCATCATCTAGATGCAAAAATGAACATCTTTAAAAGGCCTGTGTGATGCTGATGTAATTTTTGTTCACAGCCATAGTGCCAGGGTTAGAAAAAACAGCAGAAAAAAAGAAAACATGAGCAATCTGATTAATTTAGATTATTTTACTTTGATACAATTAAGGACTTACTCATTAATTCCTGGTGTGGTGGAGTTGTGAGAAATAGACTAGGGTCATTCAAAGAACTTCTTAGTCCTTGAGAATGTCCTGATTAGGTGGCTCATTATACACCCTGTCAGTAGCTATCAAGGGAAAGTGTGTGTTTCACCAGCTGTCTTGGATGACTTCACCCTCCATGGATGACTTTCCAGCACTGTGAGAAAAATGGAAAACTCAGCCAACTTCTCCCCAAAACATGAGATTCTTTGGGCCTGAAAAGCACAATAGTCATGGATTCCTAGTCAGTCTCTATTAATGATGCTTATTTCACTTGAAGAACTGAAAAAAAAAATAACATGAGTTTAAATTTTTTCATAATAAAATTTGTCTGGGCTGGAGGAAATGTCATTGTTTGGGCATGTCCATAGGTTTTGATCAAACCCCGTGTGTGCAGAAAACGTTCTGAATTACTTTTTTTTTTTTTGACTTAGTAAAAGTTTTCAGCCTACATTTTGTTTTTTTCTTTGAGCCCCTGTGGACAGGTTAAGGAAGGCACAAAAGGCTGTCAACATCAGGGGATTCTCCCAGCTTAGTGACCTATCTGAGCTGTTGCTGGAGGTACCGCTCCCAACTATTGAACTGGTTACTTTACCAATATTTACCTCCATCCATTCAATGAGGGGCCAAAATTAAAACTCTGACTCCAGCCTCCGTGCTACTCCTCTATGCTTCATTCAGTTCGTCTTAAACTGGGGGAAGTGGTTCCTGGTCTTCAAGATCCGTGTTAGCTGCCCTTTGATTATGTTCTAAAACACTTACCAAATTGATTGATGTCTTATTTAGGTGGTGCTATAGAGCAGCAGTTCCCACAGGCTACACATTAGAGACAACTGGGAAGTTTGTAAAGCCGAGTTGATTCCCAGGCGTCTCCCCAGACCAGTTAAATCAATCTCTGGGAGTGAGACCCAGGCATTGTTTTGGTTAATTGAATAAAAAAAACACAAGATAGAAAATGAAATTGGAGAAGCCAAGTGGGTAAACACATTAGTCCCTGTATATTAGATTTGGCTTTAATTGTTTACTAACATGTAAAAACATCAATTTTTCAGGTACTTGTGAATATACTTCTCAGACAACCCAGCCACTGAAAGGTGGGAACTTGATTGTATTACGGTGAGTGGAAAGGATCATAAACACTGAAGTTGAGGGCGAATCAAAGGTGTTAAAGCTTCTATCTTAAGAGAGTATGAATTCCTAAGTTAGCGCTGTTTGGATGCACGATTTTCCACTCAGGACACGAGCCTCAACCTCTAAACACTTCTCCCAGAGACGGCAACTCATTGGCTTAGGAGGAGAGAGCGGCACACCGCGAACCAAGTTTTGAAACCTCTGACCAGGAAGAGCCGACAGGGGCGCTACTGGACAAACTGGGTCCCTCAACTATGAAACCTAGAGAATTGTGGGACTTGTAGTTTTTCTTGCATCATTTAAGTTTCGTGAACTACATTTCCCAAAATGCAAATATAGCCAGTCAGTCCCACTGTCGGACATGAAATGTCACTTAAGCTGTGAAAGAAAGGTAAGTGAGTTCTGGGCAGGCTGCGTGGATTTCTTGTAAGGGATTTCTCCCATTTCTTCTCTTTGCCCTTTGGTGGGACCTTGGAGAAAGTAGCTGTTCAAATAAAGCAGGTTTTCCCAAGCCCTCTGGTCTCGGGAATCGGGACTCTGTTCACGTGTTTCTGTGGAATGTCAAGGAGAAATTGGGATCCTGAACCCAGATCTGGAAATCCAAGCATAAAATAATGTTTACATACGGGGTGCATGTCCCTAGAGAATTTCTGTATTATATCAAGTAATGTCAAAGCCTTGTTTTTCCGGCTAGAAAAGCAGACACCCTGGAGTAGAATGTCTTGCCAGGTCTCACTGCTCTTTGCTCTGTAGTAGCAGAGCTTGCAGTTGAGGGTAAACTAAAAGAATATTGGGGGGCGGGGGGGGAAGGGTGACCAGTTAGCTCAGTTGATTAGAGCGTTGTGCTGATAACACCAAGGTTGCCGGTTCGATCCCCGCATAGTTCACTGAGCT